AAGCAGTAATTTCGATTTCAAAAGTAAAAGGATCGAAAGGCTCAGAAATGCAATGACCACCTCGAATTCGAGGGATCTAGAATGAGAAAAGGTGGAAAAGGGACAAAAGGGCATACCTAGGTAGGAAAGAGCAACGAACAGCAGCCTAGAGCGAAATGGAAGAAAGAGGGCAACGCGAATCTTCAAATCGAACCCACAAAACTCGATATTGAACGAGGAATCAGAGAACTCCAAACCAGAAAGCCAGGAAATCACAAGAAGAAAGAAGTAACAGAGAAGTTGAACAGTGGAATAGGGCGGTTCAGATAGTCGTTTGAGCATTTAAAGCTTGAAAGACGTGGACTGGGACGTACGTGAGAAACGAGAAAGCCATGATTGCTGAAAATCGTCAAAAAGGCCTCACTCACGTGCAAGCCAAGGTCAGCCATGTGCATATCTAGCTCGATTTAAAAAAACAATTCAACCCCTACCCAAGCCTACTTGAACCAGGGGCTGGGGGGCAACTGATGATACCTCAAACAAGCTCTAGCTGTGAGCTCAGGTCAGAAGGTCAGATCAGGAGGTCAGAAAAGACACGGGGAGCTCAGAGAATCAGGGGTAGAGCTCCCATTGGGGAGATCGTGACAGGACCAACCAGGAAACAGTTGAATGACTACAGAAATTGAGCCCAATACATGAAACTCTCAACCAACCGAGATTCTCTCCTAAAATGAAGGAGGATCTCATGAATAATTGACAAAGATCTCAGCTGAAATCTCATAGAATAGGGAGCAACCTTATAAATACTATGTAACGCCTCATCAAAGAGGAGGCCCCTAGAAAAACCTTAATTAGATGATGCATTGTACTATAATACATTCGAGAAATCAAGAGAGAAAATAAAGGAGCAAGAGCCTCCATTAGAGAGTGGATTAGCCGAGCTCTAGAGCCGATGAACCATTATATCCCAACTGTGCAAATTCTCCTACCCTCCAAGAAATACTTCATCATTATGAAGTTGACAGCCTAGATTCATCTTTGGTCTCACGCACTCTGTTCACCCACGTTAGTTCGCACCATCAATATCTATATTTATATTACTTAAAAAATACTTTATCATGAATTTTTTTTAATACACTATTTAATAGGTTACTCCTATTAGCCTTTTATATTTAAATTACTATTATATCATTTTATACTTAAATAACAAATTAACCTCTAACATATTGTATAAATTTTTCTATCTTTACAAAATTTTTAGATGGTAATGTTACTTTTAACAGGATATATAAAAATATTATTTTTTTTCTCAAAACCCTAATATTAATATACATTGATAACTTCATTGATATAATATTTTTTTAGTGCTACAAAATCGATATATGTATATTTTTTTGTTCATCCACAATATAAATAATTTAAATATAATAAATAAGAGATAAAATCTAATTTAATCATATAATTAAATTTTTATGTATTTTATCAATTATTTTAACGAAAACATTTACGTACAATGCATGTGATGCATTGCTAATAACAGTAAACATGGACGGGTTTACACCCAGAGGACATTTCAATCTTTTTGATGTAAATCTTGAGTTAAGATAGTATAATTGAAAAAGCTAAATTCCCTTGTCCTGTACCCATTTAAATTGAATACTATAGTCATCATTCATCGTTACTTCTATGTCACATTAATTAAAGAACCAAAAGTTTCACTCCATATAGTATTGTACTAGAAGGTCTTAGCAATTGTGGGCTACGAGCCCAAGTAGAGGACCATGGAGTTTGGGCAGACTTTTTAGAAAACCAATTAATTGAGCGCGTTGTGTACGACTCACATTGCACCCCCGAATTTTGGATGATCGAACCTGAATTTTATTTTTTTAATCACTTATTTTTATCACATATTTTTCTGTTGTTAATTTATTCGGCTTTCCTTTCTTAAAGGAATTCTCAGCCTGTAAATTCAGTCTAAGCAAAAAATACCTCTGAATAAACATTATCTCTTCTTTATTCACCCTCTTATTCTGAGCTTTAAAAATTAACTTGACCAATCCAAGTTCATAAGTTACCCTTTCTTCGTAAGCACGATCTTGATACTCAAATGATTAAAGAAGCTTACAAGATTTATGTTTTACCATTTGTCATGTTTTTGTATTTTGGAAATGAACCATTCTTACTTGGAGATAAAGATTATTTAATGCTTATTATCTCCTCTAGACACTATTACAAGCAAGATCATTATACAACTAGTGCGATCTTTTTATAATCATGTTTTTTTTTGGGGGGGAATGGGGGGGGGGGGGGGGAAGTAGGAGATGTGGTACTCTGCACATAAATGGTAAAACAAGACACCATAAAATGTCAGTTTATTGGCCTCTAAAGTTAAAATGACGTACCGGCATAGATACATATAACTAAAACAACTCTTTTTCTTGCTTAATACCCAAGCAAAATAAGATGAGAGTCGTCTTATTTTGCTTTTAGAGATGCTTTTATTAAAAAAAAACAAAAAAATATATTTATTGAAAAAAAAAGGCCCAAAACACATTATACGTGCAGTGAAAGGGTGGTGTATATTTTTGTGGTGGCCATATTTTGCAAGGGCGGTAAAAAGATCATATCAAATACACAAAATTCTTGATTATAATGACGTGTGATAGAAGTAATAAGTCGTAGACACCTTTGATTGAGCAATTGGTATTCCCATTGATCAAAAAAAGCAATGGGTATTCCTCGACTAGTGTGTATTCTCATGATTTGAATTTATATTTATAAATAATCATACGGGATAGACCGGGTTATGAAGTGGTCTTACTCTTCCTAGTCTCGGAGGGGTATGTCAGGTATGATGCATATCTTTTTTCAACTAAAATTTACTTATCTACCCAAAAAAGAATTGAACCATAGATAACATTATCGTTATATTTTAGACAAATTGATTTTTGAATTCGAATACACAAGCGTATTATTTAAGTGGATGATGTGAACTACCAACATTCTTTGCTTTCAAACCAAAACAAACTACTAGTGTTGCAAAATTCACAAAAATAGCAACTACGTCATTCTCGTAATAATTTTGCTAAAAATTCTAATTTTGCATCGCTCTATTCAAATTTTGTCAAATTACTATGGGAAATTATGATAAATGTACATCCAATACAAACTTTAATTACATGTTTACGTAGAAAAGTAACCAAGTCAACCTAAGTTGGTTACCCTTGATTATGGTTGTCAAAATCAGACATAACACGATTAATCGACACAAATCGATACGAATTAAACGGGTTTGTATGAGATTTTAACGGGTTTGAGTGATAAACGAATTGACACGCCAAACACGTTTAATCAACGGGTCGTGTTTGAGTGAGATTTGTTAAACCATTTATTATACATTTATCCGTTTAAATAAAATTAATATAATAATAAATTAATAATTATTTTTAAAAAATAACAAGAAAAAAAGAAGTAAAATAGTAGTTTAACGACAAAGGAGATGAGATGAGAAGCACTTCAAAAACAAAGGCAAACTAATGTCTTTTGTTTTTGTCCCACATTGAAAAATAAGGGGAGATGGGGAGGGTTGAGTTGCCTATAAAAACCAATGACCTCTTTTTTTTTTTTTTTTTTTTTTTTACGTCTTCAAATCTTATTTTTATGAGATTTGACTAAAAATTTCTTTTTTTTGATGTAAGTGCAATTGACAGTAAAAAAAAAGTGATGTATTAAAATTTATAGATATAATTTTTTTAAAAATTAAACGGGTTAAACGAGTCGTTGTATTACCTGTTTATTAAACGGGTCGTATTTCTGTTGAGATTTTTTACCTGTTTATTAAATGTATCGTGTATAAATTTATATATTTTTTACCTATCACCTGTTTAACCCGACACATAACCGTTTAACTCGATACGATCGACGTCCTAACCTTTATACTCTCACAAGATTTAACTAACTTAGAAGTTAAAGGGTCTATTCTATCCAAAGGTAAAGATTGATTTCTTACTGAGTTTAAATTCTATCCAGACTCCCTGTGAATCCAAAGGTTTACAGATACCCAATAGCTTCTTAACACATCAGCAACCTTACTATTAAAATAAGAAACCGCCACCAAACTTTTATACCCACCAACTCTAGTTAATATAATGAGGTTTGGGTTGAAAAAAATTAAGGAAACAATCCTTTGGAGTCTTTGAACCATCAAACTTCATCTTCTCTGGAGCGACAATATTCCACCATCCAACTGTAATTCCATTTGTCATTTTTTTTATTCTGCAAATGTGGGGAAATATTCTGTAACATAAATGGCCATTGAAAGCCTTGAAAATATTGCTAGCAATAACCTTCCCCTTTCTTGAATGTTTGACTGAAGATAAGAATCAATATATTGGGTTTTTTAGCAAATTTATAATTGTGCTTCGTCACCTATTTAAAAGAGAATGGTTGTGAAATTTGTAACTTAAAGAGAATGGTTGTGAAATTTTGAACTTTTAAAAACATTCGGTGTATTCAGATATTTACTTTGTAGTTTTAGTCCTTGGTTCTCGTTGAACACTTGATTTTGAGTCTAAGTAAGATCCCAAAATTATTTTTTCTGATGAGGTTGGAGGATGCCGGAGAAGATGAAGTTCGATGGATCCGGAGAAGACAAAGCTTTTGGTTGAAAACAGCTGATTCTTTTGTTATTGCTCTTTATTTGTGCGAGTCAACCGAACCATGTTTGAGTTAACCATAGTTAGTGCAACCCATTTGATTGCTTGCAAACTAATTTAAGTTAGTGTTTAAGTGTTTTTGCCTTTTTTTTAATTATCTTGCTGATGTGTCAAGAAGTCATTGATTATACGTAAACCTTTTGATTCACATGATAGAATTTAAACTCTTTCTTATTTGGGGGTTCTATTGTGCTTTATTTCAGACTTCCCTTCACCCCTATGTTGTACTTTATCTTCTGTTATAGAGGCGTTACTTCAAAGTTGTAACAGTTAATTGTAATATCATCCAATCTTTAAATAATCCTCATGTTCTCTGTTGCACTTCATGCATTCAAATTCAATCCAAACCTGAAGTATCACGATGGCAGAGGTGAGTCCTGAAGTCCTATGCCACCTTCATCTCTCTCTCTCACTGTCTTTGTTGTCGGTTTTGCAGGGCAATCTCAATAACAAAAGGATGGAAATGTTACTGTGATTCTCAAAATCGACATGCATTGCACGTGTGCTGGTTGTGCCGCCAAAATCATAAAATATATTCGGAGTATTGAAGGTATAATTACATAGCATTATATTGAATTATTACATATGAATTATTGGTCTGCTTTATGTCCTTAGGAGTTAGGAGCTACGTATATAGATTATAAGATTATCTTTTTATTTCTTTGTATGGACTAGATCGTGCACACGTGTTTTGCATGTGGACTTTTTAACTTATAATTTTGTTTTTGAAATAATTAAATAAATATAATAGCAAATATCTACTTATAAATCTAGCCTTTTTGAATATTTCTATTATTTAATTTGTGTAATTTATTATGGACATAATACTACATATTTGTTGAACGAACGAATATTAATTTTTTTTGTTTTATTTTCTCTTAAGTTTGACGAATTACCTTCTTGTAAATCTCTACCCTTAAAGTTTATAACTTTTCACATGAAGTTAATTATTTAGATTAATTTTATTTGCAACATCATAGTAATGGTACAAATATATTTTATAGTATGTGTATATATATAACTAAAAAGTATCACAAATACTTATTAAATTATGAAAAATACATAAGCGAATGATTTTAAGTTATAGTGGTCATTTAATTATAAAAATTAGTTGAGCAAATTTAAAAAGTTAAGTTGTAATAAGTAATTTAATGTAATATTGAACATATTCGTAGCATTGATAATCGATACAAAAAAAATGGCTTCTAAGTATTACCAATAAATATAACTAAAGAGGATTTATTAAAACTAAAACATAAAAGAGAAGAAAATAAAAAGTAAGGGTTTGATAATATTATTCAAATTATATTGAAATAAATCTTATATTAAAAAAGACTGTAGTGCATTTATTCAATTTCATTTAAAAATTCAGAAACTTCTCATCAATTAATGAAAATAGATAGAAATAAATAATAGTAAATTTAATTATTTTAACAATTAATTTTTATCTTTTAAAAGAAAGAATATGAAAGGCTTGACTATGTGTAATATTAATGAAGTTTTATTAGTATAAATTCTATATTAACAATATTAGTATTGTGAGAGTTAAGTTGTCCAATTAAAAGTTTAACATCAATAAGGTTAGTATTGTCTTTATATATTATTTTAGGGTTAATATAAATTTTATATTAATAATGTTAGTATTGTGAGAGTTAAGTTGTCCAATTAAAAGTTTAACATTAATAAGGTTAATATTGTCTTTATATATTATTTTAGAGTTAAAATAGTCGATCAAAAGTTTTTTTTAATAGTGTACTTCTATTAGTAGTATTGATATAGATATAGATGGACTATGAAAACAAAAAACAAATAAAAAATGCGATCCAGTGAATTTTGAGGTCTTGCAGCAATTTTGTCACCCGATAGATCGCAATCTTCGCTGACTTGTTTTGCATCTGTGATTCTGTGTGAAGGTGTTAAATCAGTGAAATCATTCGACGGTGACAAGATGTTTGCAGTGGTGGGAGAAGTGGATCCATTGAAACTCTGTGAAAAAATTCAGCAGAAACAGAAGAAGAAGGTGGAACTCGTTTCTCCTTTGCCAAACAAGGACAAAAATAAGGGCAAAGAAACTGAGAAGGTTGGTGGGGAATGGGAGAAGAAGAAGAACATTGAAGATAAGCAACAGAACAAGCAAGATAATAGCAAATCCAAAGAGGTTATTTGAACTTCGTTCATATTTACTCATGTTTCAGAGCTTAAGAGTTCAATTACTTGCGGTTCACGATACAGGCCACATTAGCTGTGCAGCTGAGCATTTAAGCTAACGTTAATTAATTAACTACCTTTGTTGTTTCATTCAGAAGATTCTTCTGTTAATTAACTTTAGAAGTTGTTTTGGGTTATTGTTTTTTCGGCCTCCAATCACAATGCTGAAGCAGAATCCAGACTTCGACGACAAGAGCATGCAAACGATTATGAAAATTATAATGAAGAGCCAAGGTAATATTGCTAGGATTAAATATCATAGATGCATTTCCCTAAATTCTGGCATGGGTTTTAATATCATTTTTTAATTTACGATCATCTCAATTTAATTCTAACACGTGAAAATCATCGTAATCATCCCTTTCCATTTGATTAATTGTTAGAATAAATAATAAGTAAAAAAAAATTAGATGACTATTCTGCAAATTGACATAAGTGTTGGGGGTTTGTCCATTGATGTTATTGAAAAATTGGAAGCGGCTGAATTAATGTTACCATTTACATAGTTTAAGAACTAAAATTAGAAGTTAATTGGGATATTTTAAAATTGAGAAATAATTGGGGGTTGCTTTCGTATTTATCTAGGGAACAATGTTATAAGGACGTAGTCATTAGATTAGTTATTAATTTCAAAATTAAATGAAACTCACTTTTAATTTAACAACTGTAATTAATTGATTAGGTCTCTAAATTAGGTTATCAAAAATAAGTCCAAATTACATTTTTCTTACGGCAATAGATGTGTTCTTTTGAGCAATGTTATACAGACTTAAAAAATTGACTTGATAAATCACTATCATTGAATAGGTAGTGGGTCCGAATAAATATTAAGACCCATAATTAGATTAAGAGTAATGCTACATTGACCAAATTTGGAATCCAAATGGCATGACAACATATTATTTAAAATTTTTATTGGGGTTCAAATAACATGGCACCAAAAAAAGAAGTTCAAGTCAGCTGTCATGTCATTTAAAATCTAAATTTGATCTTAAAATTTAATCGATATAACATTACTCTTAAATCAATAACAAATATAACAAACACATCCTCAAATCAAGTAACATTTTCCGTGTTGTTTTGTTACATTCAATTTTTCAAGGTTATATTGTGAAATATTTCTTGGGGACATAATAGGTAGTTAATGGCGTTACAGGATACCAAGAGGTCTCTATAGACCGGAAAAATTTTATGATCAAAATAACTGGAACCATGGATGTGAAGGCTCTGGTGGAGACAATAAACAAGAAGCTAAAGAAAACAGTCGAGATTGTGCCCCCAAAAAAAGGTGGTGGCAACGAGAAGAATGAAAGTGGCAGTGGCGGGGGCGATCAAATGAAGGGAGGCGGAGATGGCAAAGCTTCTGATAATAATGTGAGAGATGGTGGAGGCATGATGGAAGGAAACAGATCTGGAGCTCTGCCTAAAGAGATTGTGCCCCCCAACAAAGCAAGTGGAAACGAGAAGAATCAAAAAGGCAGTGGCAGTGGTGGTGGCGGCGGCGATGGCGATAGTGGTGCTGAGCAAGGAAAGTGGGGCGGAGAGAGAAAGGCTTGTGGTGATTGTGGCAGAGATGGTGGAGGCATGATGGAAAGAAACAATAGTGGATATGTGCCATTCGAATACCAAAACCCATATGCTAACGAACGAGTCACTTCTTGACAAACTGAGAAATCCATTAGATGAGGAGAACCCTAATGCCTGTTGTGTACTGTGATGATGGGTTGTTCTTCACTAGTCCTTGTGCAAATCCTCATCAGTCAGGCCTAATGCCTGCTGTGTACTGAGAAATCCATTCGTTTGGACAAATAAACACTTGACATCGATTTAAATCTAATTTCGTATATACATCTTTCATGCGTAGGATTATACTTGAGATTGTGGCACCAATAAAGTTATTATATTAGCAACAAGTCCTCGTATCGAAATAGGCCAACCATCTTACATAAACGTATTTGATCAGTAAATTTAGTCTAATTAGTTTTACATTATCGAATCATTTGAATATACTTAGCTTTCATATTTCTTTTCCCGAAACATACTAAAATTTTTTCAGAAGTTGAGTAAATACATTCATTTTTTTGTTGCCCTTGCTTCTTACCATAAAATCCTTACTTTATGAGAAGAATAATGCTACACCCACTATCTTTTTACGTCACTTTTATATATCACCTTAATGTGGGTCATTAAATCAACGAGTTTCATTAATTTTATTAAATATCCGATTATTGTGATTATGACACGTTAGCTGATGAATTTGAGGTTGTGCACATCATTGCTCTAAGGAGAAACATTCACCGCTAAGTTTTGTAGGTGGTTTTTTTTTTGTTTTTTTGTTTTGGGGTGGGGGTTGTCAGTTTGCAGGTGTTTTTTCACTTGCTCAATGTTTGTAGTCAGATATTGAGTAGAACAACCGTCCCTCGTATAAATGGTAAAGAGCACAAAAAGCTGCATTACGTTGAAATATGAAACGCAAATACCTGCTGCATAATGAGACCAATTGAATTTTACTGGATTCTCAAGCAATCAAGCAAAAAAGAAAATGACGATATTGGACAGAGAATAATAACCATCTAAATCTTCCTTGTGATTGCTTGCTGACTTAATTCATTATGAATTTTAAATTAATTATGAGTTTCATTAAATATTAAAATTTGACGTTAATTCAATAATTATAATAATGCCACGTCATTAAATTAGTAAATTATGTCAAATTTTTAAGTACAAATAACATTTTCCTTTACAAAAATTAGGGGCTTAACACAGGAGCAAAACCAGAAATAGAGATTGTTTGGTAACGTTTTCGTTTTCATGTCTTTAAAACAATCAAAAATCGAGATAATTTTTGTCTCCATTTTTGTGATAAACACTGAAATAAAAATATGTTTAAGTGTCATTTTTGTCTATCAAATTATGAGAATAAAAAATAAAATATATTTGATAACTACCTCACGTTTTATTCTAAATATGTTTTATAATATATTATACAACAAAATACTAATCCAAAAATTCATCAAAGATCTATATTATTCTATATTAATCCATCTTTTTTTTTTTTTAGGAAAGAGAAAATTTTATTGAATAAATTCCATGAATTACAAGAATAAAAAACAAACAGAAACTGTTTGAACAAAACATGAAGCAGAAAAATTTTTACAAAAAAAAAACAGAAGTTCTGTTCTATAACAGCCCAATCAAATTTTCTGTACAAATGCTTCTGTTCTAAAATGCTTGGAATACCTAGACTGCATTCTCTGCTAGACAGCACCAGCACCATAACTCATCTCCATACTTGCAACCTGCATCAACCAACCCCTTGTCTTTGCTCAAAACCCTCTTTCATCCACATCGTCACTCACTCACACACACACACACAACACATACACACATGGACCCGTCACTCTGTCACACGCACAGATCTTTGTAAATATGCACAGATTTGTGCAAAAATATGCACATATCTGTGCATATATGCGCAGATCTGTATCTTCATTTCTGGGTTTCACAGTTAGCAAGCAGAGAGAGAGAGAGAGAGAGAGAGAGAGAGAGAGAGAGAGAGAGAGAGAGAGAGGATTTCGGTTCGTCTTCGTTGGCAGAGCACCATCGGTTCGACTTCGTCGTTGAGAGAGAGAGGAGAAGAGAAAGTCTTTGAGTGCTCCGGAGAAGAAAGAGAGTCGCTGAGAGTGGAGGAGAAAAGAGTGGGTCGATCTATGCAGAGGAGAAGTGACAAAAAAGACCTCTATTTATACTTTGAAAAAGGAGGTCTCAATTTCGAGTCTTTTGTGCGTAAAGGACTCGAAGTTGACATCTCATTTAATCAAAAAACGTATGTTTTGTTTTTGTGTTTCTTAAAATATAAATTTTTTGTTCTTATTTTTTTATTTTTGTTCCCAAATAACTAATGTAAAACAAAAATAAAAATAGTACCCACACATGTTTTTGTTTTTATTTTTGACAAAAATTAAAAACAAAAGCACAAAACACAACAAAGACAATAAACAAACATCCCTTGTGCAGTGCCAGTGGGGGCATCTTAGACTCGTTAATAAATTAAAATTATAATTTTAGTACTATTTTCATGAAAAAAAATTAAATTTTAATCATTTTTATAGGTATATTATCATTAAAAAATGTTAAGGGAAGACACAACCCATGTAATGATGTACCAAAAGAGCCAACCAAAAGATTAACAATCTCTAAATGTTCAATTGAACCGTAAGTCTTAGAATATCATTGTCAATTGAGGAGAAAAATGATAGGAAATAAGATTGAATCGATTAATTGATTTGCCAAGGAATAAGGAAAAATTGGTGCTCAAGTTAGTAGATTTAACCCCTTGAGAGTAAGTTTTATCGCTCCCTAATTTAATGTCACTTGCTTATATATCTGGGCGACAATGTTATTGAAATTTAATTTATCGATCTTTTCACTATAATAATTGAATTGATTGTGAGACATATTAAATATTAAAATTTGGTGTTATTATAATAATTATAATTAAATCACTTCATTATATTAATAAATTATGTCAAATTTATAAGTATAAATATGAGCAATGCTACTGAGACATAATTTATTAATCTAATTTATTTTAATTGACTATAAATTCCACTAAATATTTGAATTTAACGTTAATTTAATTATTATAATAAAATTTTTAATAATTAAATCAAAATTTTAAACCACAAACACATTTTCATATGATATTTCACGGACAAAAGACAAAGTTTTAGCCGACTCTTACAAAGTGGCTGACATGGACAGCTAGTCATCTCAAAAATGATCTACAGATGATCTTAATGATCTAACGGTGGACAACTTGCCAATACAAAACCTATTACCTATGTTGGACATTGTTTTGCATTTCCAAAACAGAAGGCAAACATGATTCACGCGTAAAGAGCACTCATCTTCAACCTTGCACCTCCATCCTCCATGGACGAGTACACTTGAACTTCTGAAAATCACCATGCAAAAAAACTCAAATTATGTTAAGTAGATTCTTTCAGCTTTCATAGTGGGGACAAATTATCAAAAATTTAAAAGTTGTTTAAACTATTAAATGTAGTCTACAAATTTTCAAAATTTCAGCGGGGCAATTGCCCCCACACTAAATCGCCCATGGCTCAACACATAGGATTAGACATGCTCATCAAGATTACTTGATGCAACATTATGAGAAAACATAGATGTGGGTAGGCTAATAATTGAGTCAAATATGTTGAACTCATTTTAAACAACGGGTTTATAAAATTATTCAAATTTGATTCTTTTAAAAAATGAATTGAGCCCGAGTCAACTTTAAATAACTCGACTATTTTACATATAAACAAATCGAGTTTTTCTTGACTTGTTTTTTCAAATGAATTTAAAATATTATTCAAATTCGACATTCGTTTAAAACACGAGTCAAACTCGATTCAAGTTTTAATTGAATCTAAATAGAGATCGGGCAGCTCGACTCGATTATCAGTCGTAAGTGATTGGATCGGTTATTTTTTTTCAATTTGACCAAAGGGTAAAGTGGAAATTTTAATATTTTTGTCAAACTAGTAGTTGACTGGAAGTTTTCAAACGGGAGTTGGTAGATACGTTACAATGGCATGCTTGTCAACTTCACATAAAGGGTAATAATTAATAAATATAAATTTCAAGAAAAGTTAACCGTTAAGTTAATTTGACAAGGGTAAAACGGTCATACAATTTTGTCAAATCGTTTAGTTTAGTTCAACTTTTCTAACCACATGGGTTTGGAGTGTAGTAAATATAAAGATAAATATAGTAAGTATATTTTTTGGGTTTAATTTATTTACTTACTAGATATAACCTGTGTCTGAAGGCACGATACAATTAAAAAAAATTGAATATTGAATTTAAATGCGAAATAATTTAGTCCTGAACTCGGACACGTACTAAATTAAAAGTCTAAACTCATCCTATATCACGTGTCTGAAGGTACTGTACATAGTTATTATACATGAAATAATCAAACAATAAATATAAATACAAATTAAAAAACCCCAATTTGAACACCCATTACAAAGGCATCTGAGTGCGTCGTCGATTGCACTACCATTCGTCGGACTGTCAATTTTTTTAGCACCACCAAAAAATGTGAACAAATGTATTATAAAAAGAAGGGATAGACTGTCGGTGTGCTAACGAGCAAAAAACCAAACAGTTAGAATGCACTAAAAAATTCAAACTTAACCATTAAAACGAGTACGTGATGTGTGTGGATTTATGGGTGGGCTTTCTATGTGTGTGTGTGTTGGTTTTTTTTTTTTTTTTTTTTTAATACAACAAAAATCACTTTTAACATTTGCTCAAACACCATTTTGAACATTCACAGCTAGACAGAGTGGCTGATTGGCCGACCGATTGTCCAACCGACCCTTTTTGTTCAATCAGACATTTGCTCGAACACCTAGCATGGTTAAACTGAATTTCAACTTAATTCATTCAAACATGTTTAAACTTTGGCTCAAATTCATTCGAACATTTTGTCGGTACCAATCCTGCTGGACTTTGTAGAGCCCCACTACCATGCTCGAACACCTAACATTTTGTCGGTACCAATCCTGAATTTATGAAACACTAAATATATAATACTCTTGGAAAAAATGGAAACTCCCATAGTGGACAGCAGCAACATTACAATC